CCAAAACCTTGTTGAACGACAACTAAACTAAAAAATTCTTGCTATGCAAACCGACTGGGGTGGTGAGTATGAGAAACTAAACTCATTCTTCCAAAAGATTGGAATATCTCACCATGTTTCTTGTCCCCATGCTCACCAACAGAACGGGTCTGCTGAATGCAAACACCGTCATGTTGTTGAGGTAGGACTGGCATTGCTAGCCAATGCCTCCATGCCCCTAAAGTTCTAGGACGAAGCTTTCCTCATGACCACATATCTCATAAATGTTCGTCCTAGAAAAGTCATCAACTTTGAAAATCCCATCACACGTCTTTTTGGTACCAAACCAGACTACAAATCTCTTCGAGTCTTTGGTTGTGCATGTTGGCCGAATCTAAGGCCATACAACACACGCAAACTTGCATTTCGTTCAAAGAGATGTGTGTTTATGGGTTATAGTCCTATGCACATAGGGGTCAAATGCCTAGATGTTCCCACAGGCAGAGTTTATATATCTCGTGATGTTGTGTTTGACAACTCGGTTTTTTTGTTCGAATCCCTTCATCCCAATGCCGGCGCACTCCAGCGTCAAGAGATTCTTCTTCTCCCATCCACACTTCGAGATTTTGATCACTGTGGAAACAATTGTGCTAACCAACATGATGCTAATATTTCTGCTGGAGCCAGTCCTTCCCTTCCATGTGTGCAAGTACCTGAAGAAAACGGCACTCAAAGTGATCAAATTGATCAAAATCTAGCTCAAAATGATGTAGTATTTCATGTACAAGAAGAAGACGAGGCTGGCGCGGCGTACGAGGAAGATTTGGCGGCGCCTGCAACGCCTGCCACGCGATCTGCCTTGGATCGAGCACGGGGGTCCGCCTCAGATCGTGCAGCCAGTTAGGAGGGCCAGGCGCACTCCTTCGCTGACGCGTCCCCACGCGGGGAAGATTCATCTCGGGACGCGCACGGATTGTGCATGCAGCCAACCGCTGCGGGTCGCGGCGCTCATGTAGGGACAACCGTCCTGGCTGGCGCGGGATCTTCCGTGGCCACAGCCGCAGACGAATTAATCACACCAGAGGCCACTGCATCTTCTGGGGCAACTCCTGTTTCTTCCTCGGGATCTTCTGCAACCAGCAGACCTGCACGCTCTCGTGTACAACACCCCATGCCACCACAACCAGCCACGTCAGGTGTATGACCCGTCTACAAAAAGGTATTAGAAAACCAAAAGTGAGAACCGATGGCACTATACCATATGGCATGCTATGTGTTTCAGGTGAACCAACAAAGTTGGACGATGCACTCAGGGATCAAAAGGGGAAGAAAGCCATGGATGAAGAGTACAATGCATTGATGAAGAATAAAACATGGCACTTGGTACCAAATCATAAAGGTAAAGATATTATTGACTGTAAGTGGGTGTATAGAATCAAGAAAAAGGCACATGGCTCTGTTGACAGGTATAAGGCACGTCTTGTTGCCAAAGGATTCAAACAATGTTATGCATTGATTATGAGGACACTTTTAGTCCTGTTGTAAGGGCTGCAACTATAAGACTTGTCCTAGCTATTGCTGTGTCCAGAGGATGGAGCCTAAGACAACTAGATGTACATAACACGTTTTTGCATGGTGTTCTGAAAGAGGAGGTCTACATGAGACAACCACCAGGCTATGAGGATAAGCGTAAACCTCATCATGTGTGCAAACTTGATAAGGCTCTCTATGGTCTGAAACAAGCACCCAGGGCATGGTACTCCAGGTTGAGTTTGCAATTAAAACACCTTGGCTTCATTGCATCAAAGGCTGACACACGTGTCTTCATTTTCAATAAAGCAAACACTGTCATCTTTGTGCTCATATATGTTGATGATATCATAGTTGCAAGCTCTTGACAAAGTGCTACTAATGCCCTTCTGCATGATTTGAGCTAAGAGTTTGCGTTGAAAAATCTTGGTGATTTACACTTCTTCCTAGGGATTGAAGTTATGAAGATTCAAGATGGCATTGTGTTGAAAGAAACAAGAAAAATATGTCACTGAACTTATTGCTCGGATGGGAATGAAGGATTGCAAGCCTTTACCCACACCGTTATCCTCTTCAGAACAACTCTCAGCACATGAAGGGGAACCTCTTAAGGAAGAAGAAAGTACTAGGTATAGGAGTGCTGTTGGAGCACTTCAGTATCTAACCCTGACATGACCAGATATTTCGTTTGCTGTTAACAAGGTGTGTCAATATTTACATGCTCCTACCTCCACTCATTGGACAACTGTTAAAAGAATCATACAGTATGTCAAGCACACTGTAGATTTGGGACTTCAGTTCAAACGTTCTAACTCTACACTGGTCAGTGCTTTTTCTGATGCTGATTGGGCAGGCTGTAGTAATGACAGAAAATCAACTGGAGGTTTTACAGTTTTCTTTGGTTCTAACCTCATCTCATGGAGTGCCAGAAAACAAGCAACAATATCAAGGTCAAGTACAGAAGCAGAATACAAGTCACTTGCTAATGCTACTGCTGAGATCATCTGGGTGGAATCCTTACTTGAGGAATTGGGCATAAAGCAACAACGTGTTTCATGTTTGTGGTGTGACAACTTAGGTGCTACCTACCTAAGTGCTAAGCCTGTATTTCATGCTAAAACCAAGCATATTGAGATAGACTTTCATTTTGTACGAGAAAGGGTTGCAGACAAGAAACTAGAGATACGCTTTATACCCTCTAAGGATCAAGTTGCTGATGGGTTCACCAAGGCTTTGCCACTCAAACCATTTGAAGCATTCAAGGACAATCTCAATCTTGGATAGGCAGTTCAGATTAAGGGAGGGTGTTAGACATAGAGATATTGCCTCATTGTAATCCTAACTACCTCTCTTTTTATCTTCCTATCCCTCCATCGATCTCTATCTGTACTCTACCGTATCCCAGCGACCGGTAGCTTCTTGTAAACCAAGGCAGGGGTTCTTCCTGCCCTCAATAAATAAACACCAGCGGCTCCTCTAAGGAGTAGGAGCGCTCCCACATATCAATCTCTACACAAGTCATACACCAACTTGCCAACATTGTACAGTGACCATCAGAACTGGGCTTGTAAATGTAATCACGCTTATAAAATGAATAAAATCGAGACATTTTGAAACTCCTTGCTGACTTCAAAGACATAGCTAGTCCTCAAATAAAAAATGGCGAAAGTTTGAGTGCCGCGGGTCCATGACAGAGAGCAGGTGTTTTCTAAAAAGGAAGTTGTGCAAGCAGGCTGCATAGATAATTGGCACGGGCTTCATGGCAGTTATTTAGGTTTACTAGTCTATTAACCTGTGCTCTCATGCATAGATTTTTCTTAACATTTAGTTTATTCATTTTTTCAAAATATAGTTTTCAAACCAAACCAGATGACAGTTAACTTTTACCGCCGCCTTGTTTGACCACCTTTTTAAATAAAACGATGTATCCAAAAATCATTTTTATAGTAGTGAGAGCCAGCGCCACATCAGACTTAGGTCCATTTGAGCCCACAACCAAATAGGATTTTGGGCCTAACTGTGCTGTCCCACAATCAATTTTCGATATGGGGCTAAACTTAACACAAGGTATTTGTTCTTGACTATGGATAATATAAAACATATGTATATTTTCTGCTACCTCATCTTTTCTTAAAGAATCTCTCTTTGAGCATTTTTGTGAGGCACAAGAGAATATATCAAGTGATGCTTGCTTGTAATGTTAGTAATTCTTTAAGGTGTGCAAAGGATGAAGGACGACAGTTCTTTAAGGTGCTCCGCTCACATGCTTTGTCTATGAGGATGAATAACATTTAGCATTTTCAGGGTGTGCAAATCACCTTGTAAGTATTCGACATATTATTTGTGGCAGCACACGTTAGCTAAAGCAAAAGATCTCATGGACCTGCAGCTTCCTCCTTTCACACAGAATTGATCCCCTCTGTGTTTTGTTTGTGTGATGAAAGAAAAGGCAGGCAATGCTTGCGGCTAGGTCTAGGAATTTTTCAAGCTGAAGGAAACGAAAGCAAAGGCGGCCAATGTTTGCACCAAAGTCTAGGAATTTTTGAAGGTGTGCACAAGGAAACGGACCAACAAAGCTCACGAACAGAGGAGCACATGAAGGCTGAAGCAAAGAACGTTTTGCCTTTAATGGTGTCCAAGTGGCCAGATAACGGGATAAGCACTCAAGGTACCCCTCCACATGCTTCACACACGACCGAGTAGCACGGAATCTGCGGCCTGGTCTTTCGGCAAATAACAATATGATGACAAGTCTTTTGTTAGACTTTGAAGAGAATAGTTGCTTCTATTTTAATTGTGGTCATTTAAACTATATACTCTCCCGGTCCCATAATATATCGATTTCTATGGTTCTTCTAAGTCAAATAATTTTAACCAACTTTAAATGGAAGAATACAAACATATATATGGTACCAAGTAAATATACTACTCCCTCCGTACCATAATGTAGTGCCTATAGATTTTTACAAAAGTCAAACATTACAAACTTTGACCATGTTTATAGAAAAAAGTAGGTACATCTAGAATATCAAATGCACATAATTGGATACATCGTGAGTTATATTTTCAGAATGTACATGTTTGGTATTGTAGATTTAGACAGTTTTCTCTGTACACTTGGTCAAAGTTGGCAAAATTTGACTTTCACAAAAATCTATAGGCACTACATTGCGGAATGGAGGGAGTATGAAAATATATTCAGTGTATCCACTTGTATAAGTTTGATATTGAGTGCTCTTTTATATAAATTTGGTTAAATTTAAAAAATGTTTAACTTAATTAGAGCAATTCTAAAAATATATTTACTTTGGGACTGTGGAAGTATAATTTATTGCCATGACTTAATTTTGAAGGAAACACGAGGGGCAAAGCCCCTAATGTGAATTTATTAAGAAGAGAACAAGTACAAAAACGGAAAATAGAGAGATTACAAAATTAATTAAACAAATGGGGGCAAGCATAGCTTAGCTACTTATACAAATGGGGGCATTTTATGATTCCAATGTACTGTCCCTTGCTACCTCAAATATATTGATCACTGTCGGGTCTAAATCCGGCATCACCGTAGGGTTTAAATCTGGTACCACTATCGAAGTTGGATCCTGTGGATGACAATCTGCTGCTGAGTTATTCTTGGCTTTTAAAATTTCCAGATCTCGGATGAGAGCCTGCAAGCACGCGCCGGCATCCTTCTTCTCCGTTTGTATCAGGTGCTCGGCAACGTCCGCCGGGGACATGTCAACCTGATCCAGCAGCCCCTGTATCTCACTGAACAGCTGGAAAAACTGAGAGTCCCTGATGTCGCTGATGTTCAGGTAGTTATGGGCCAGCACCTTGAATGCCTCGTAGCGACAGTAGGACATCTCGATGTGCATGTCCATCCTGCCTGGCCGGATCAGCGCTTGGTCCAGCTTGTCCTTGTAGTTGGTGGTGAAGATGATGATGCGCTCTTCGCCGCACGCCGACCATAGCCCGTCAATGAAGTTGAGCACCCCAGAAAGGGTCAGCTTGCTGTCTTCGTCGTCCATCTTCTCATCCTCTTCCTGTAGCATGTCGCTCTGGTCGCCGGACTTCTTGGGGGCCTTCTTCTTGTCCCTGCGCTTGCCGGTGAGGTCGACGGAGCAGTCAATGTCCTCGACGACGATGATGGACTTTCCCTTGGTCTCGATGAAGAGCTTCCGCAGCTCCGTGTTGTTCTTCACCACCGTGAGCTCCATGTCATAGATGTCGTAGTTCATGAAGTTGGCCATGGCGGCGATCATCATGGACTTACCGGTGCCTGGGGGCCCAAACAGCAGGTATCCACGCTTCCATGCCTTGCCGACCTTGGCATAGTAATCCTTTCCCATCTTGAAGGCATTGAGATCATCCTTGATCTCCTCCTTTTTGGCGGGGTCCATAGCGAGCATGTCAAACTTCGCCGGGTGCCGGAACTCCACGTGGCTCCAGAGGCTCTTTTCTCTGTCGTAGGAGCTCCATTGGCTGCTTGCGTTGTTGGTGAAGAGGCGGTGCTGGCGGTTCTTGGCGATGACGTCACGGCCATTTTTTATGATATAGGGCAGGTAGTCATTCACGATGTGTTTGTGGAACCTTTTATGGAAGGCAACTCGGTAGAAGCGGCGCTTCTCATCACCAGCGCGGTAGGTGATGACAGTGGTCTTCGGGAGTTCTGTGTCGGCGTACCACCAGAGCGTGGCACCTTTGAAGGTATCAACGATCTCTTGATCGTCGTCAACTGAAACTTGGGGCTTCTGCATGTCGCTCTCGAGCTCGGCCTTCAGCTTGCGCACCCGACCATCTTGATGACACAAGTCGGAGAGGTAGGCCTCGATCGCAACGAAGAAGTCGCTGCGTTTGAAACTCTCGGCGCCGTACTCAGGGATGGTGATTTGTATGTATGGGTTGAGGTAGGCGCTGATCTTGTTGATCAACAATTTGATCCTGGATTGGTTCATTGCCATGGTGGTGAGGGTAATTAAAAACGCCAGAGCTGATCCAATCCCGGCCCACAAATCATTGGTCGCCATGGCTTGTTGGCTAGCTTGGGTTGGCTAGGACGGACTAGGATGACCAAGGAAGCTCTCGATTGATGAGATCAAACTAAGCTAGCTAGGTATGAGGTTCGCAGTGGCTTTGTCGCTCCTGGTCTGTTGCATGGGTCATATATATTTATAGAGATGACAGGAAGAGAATCTATAAATGAGACCCGGCTTTTATCTTAGCTCAATCAGTCTGGACCCGCCTTGTTGGAACTATTTTTTTGGTTTAATAAGATGATCGTATGCATCTTTCTCATGCAGAGACCGGGGAGACCCTCCTTTTTAAAAAAAAAAAAAATCAGTCTGGACCTGCAGCAAACCATGACAAGTGGAGAAAAAAATTCCTAATTTTTTACTACACCCATACGGTTCTTCCTTTTTCCAAGAAGAACGGTATCTGGAAGTGCCAGACCAACAAGATCTTCAATAATATAGCAGCGACTGTTCAAGGATGCAAGAGTTTGTTCAGGTACGAATTCTCTTTACTCCTCTAGCGAGCCAAGAAAAGCTACTTCACTCAAATTCAAAAATGGCTGCAGAATTTAGCTTAGATTTTCTCTCTCCGCTTGTTTTCCTTCTTTTTTTCTTTTTCTTTTTTTGTTTCTTGAATGCTCCCCCCTTCCGGCTCTGGCCCTCTTTAATTTAACTTTTACATTCTCTAATTTTAACGCAGTAGGGGCGCGAACCCCTCCTGTTATATTTTTTTAAAGGTTCTTCCTTTTTTTTGGTCACAGTACAAATGCATATGCTTACATACATCATACATGCACAATTAGCCTTATGGACACATGCAAACACGTACTACCCCTATGAGCACTTCCGAAAAACGAAGCATGTAGATCTTTTTGTTTTTGAATTTAAGTCTATAGATCTCGAGATTGACAAAGTCACTACAAGTGTTTTACTGTTGACAGGTATATGTCTCTTACCGCTTTAAGAGCACTGCAACTAAATCCTAAAATAAATCCAAAACAATGCGAGTAGGGCTGAAAAACGATCGGTGAAGATATCTTTTACACGAAAATGATACCTGGTCGGCCCTAAACTCACAACATTTTAAAATAAAGTATTCGGTGTCAACATCATTATGGTACATAGATAACTATGAAAATAATTTTTTTGAACAAGTTAGTGGTCAAAAATGATCATAAATGTTATCAATATTTCAAAAATGATTCCTGGTAAAATGGATCTTCCATTTTTGTTTGCAGCCCTACATGTACCCACGTTAAATAGAGGACATCAAGCCATCTATACAGCCAGAGAGCAACAGACAGCGCTGAGCGGCTAGCATGGATAGATGATTTTCATTGTGTTAAATTTGCAAGGGCGCCCTTTCTTTCATTCCAGTAGGAGGGGCAGCATAGGAAAAAATTTCAATTTGGATGGAAGTTTCTTTGTTTAATTTTGACTACTAGTCTCTTATGCACGACCTATAATTTTGATAAGTATAGAGGTCCGTGTTTAAAAACTAATCAAAATTACTTATTATTGCATTGCTGCTCTCTCTAATAAAAAACTAACCAAAAGAAGTTATACAAGGCCTCGAGTCCAACTCTCTCCTTGTCAGGCACAACTCATGTGACCGTCTGCGAAGACACTTGACCTCCTCCATCACCATATGACACCGAGATATTCTAGGTTCTTGGACCATGTGCTTTACACTGATGAGAGTGCACAATGGATCCGGCTGTCAATTTGTTTTAACCATAAGCATGTGCCACATTTGGCCTAGATCCATCGTAGCCATTGAACCTAGATCAACCCAAAAGACTTGTCTAATGTGTGATGGCTGCTCCACCTTATATGGTATGCTCTCTCACCATCAGTTTTCGATCAATGTGGAACTAAACCTAACATAAGGTATTTGTTCCTAATCTAACTATAGACAAAGTTTCGGCTGCCTCATTTTTTATAAAGAATCTATCTTTGTGCATTTTTGTGTGGCACAAGGAGAATATATCAAGTTATGCTTTCTTGTAATGTGAGTGTTACTTTAAGGAGTGTAAAGGATGAAGGACCACAGCTCTTTAAGGTGCCGCGCCCACATTCTTTGCCTATAGGGATGAATAACATTTAGCATTTCCAGGCTGTGGTCACCTTAAGGATTCAAGATACTTCTTGTGGCATCACACGTTAGCTAAAGCACAAGATCTCATGGACCAGCAGCTCCCTCCTTTCACACAGAATTGATCCCTCTGTGTTTTGTTTGTGTGATGAAAGCAAAAGCAGGCAATGCTTGCGGCTAGGTCTAGGAATTTTTCAAGCTGTGCACAAGGGAATGAACCAGCAATGCCCATGAACAGAGGGGCATATAGAAGCTGACGCATAGAACTTTTTGCTTTTGATGGTGTCCAAGTCACCGGATAATGGGAAAAGCACTCAAGGTACCTCTCCACATGCTTCACACAAGTTCCACGGAATTTCTAGCCTCTTTTTTTTTCCACAAATAACAATATGTGATGACAAGTCTTTTGTTGTTGTAAGTCAAACTATTTCTAATTGAACTAACTTTAAAGAGAATAATATCAACATTTATGATACCAAATAAATATATTATGAAAATATATTTAGTGTATCCACTGATACAAACTGAGTGTAAAATACTATTTTTTATAAATTTAGTCAAATTTAAAAAGCTTGAATTATAATTTTTCTAAATTAGTTGACTTGTTTTAGGACAATGGGAATACAATGTGTTGATCAACGGCTCGTGAAGGATGTAAATCAAGTGGAGTAACTAAAGAGAGCAAAAAATAAACAAACAAATCATAGCACAGAGTGGAGAATGAAATATGCAGAGGAATTTAATATGATATGTCAAATTATAATTTTACTGATTTATTACAGTGGAGAATGATAAGGTTTTGCATGGATTTATACTAACTTATCTCACGAGTTCTTGTTGATTTTTGTGTGTATGAAGTTTTTAAAATTCCGGGAAACTATGATATGAGAGGAATTAAGGAGACACAAGAACTCAAGCTTGGGGTTGCCCAAGGCATCCCTAGTTAATATTCCAAGAAGCCTCAAGCATCTAAGCTTGGGGATGCCCCGGTAGGCATCCCACCTTTCTTCATCAACATTCATTGGTTAGTATTGGTTGAGACTAAGTATTTGCTTCTTCACATGATGTGTGCTATCCTTGAGATGTGATTTTATTTTGTTTTGCTTGGTGTTTGAATAAAATATGAAGATCTGAAATTTTTAAATAAGAGAGAGTCTTCACATAGCTAGATAATTATTCAACTACTCATTGATCTTCACTTTTATCTTTTTGGAGTAGGTTGTCATTTACTCTCGTGCTTCACTTATAGCCTATGAGTAAATGGTTGAATGAATTGCATAGCATAAATCTGAAATAATATACGTTTCATATGATTATCCCATGGGGAGTAATGACTTCACATATAAGAAGTATAGGTGGTAAATGTATTGAAGGTTAGCAAACACAACATTGGTCACTTGAACAATTCATGAAAGAATATTGAAGGAAGAGAGATTTCACATGTAAATATACTATCTTGGACAACTTCTATGATTGTGATCCCCATTAATTATTTTCAAACTTGAGCAAATTAGTTGAAGTTGGACAAGGAAGACAATCTAATGAGTTATTTTTGGGTATATTTGTATAGAAGTTATATTGTTATGGATCCTCCAACATGTGGTGCTTGCTTAAGATCTTTTGCTTACCAAAAATTCGTACTAAGTGGAGATACTACTTGTGCATCCAAAAACCCTTAAACCCAGTTTCTTGCCATGAGAGTCCACTATATCTACATATGGATTGAGTAAGATCCTTCAAGTAAGTTGTCATCGGTGCAAAAAGCAATAGAAATTGCTCCTAAATATGTATTATCTTTAATTGTAAGGGTAAATAAGCTTTGTACGAACTTGTGATGGTGAAGAAATAAAAGCGACGAACTGCCTAATATAGGTTGTTGTCACAAGTGGCAATATAAAGTGACGTTCCTTTACATTAAGAGCTCACACATCCAAAAATAAAAGGTGCATGACAACCTCTGCTTCCCTCCGCGAAGGGCCTATCTTCTACTTTGTGAATTTACTTTTATGCAAGAGTCAATAGTATGCTTTATCACTCCAACCTCAAATTATTCTTTATTTGGCAAGCATCATGTGGTGGGGAAAGATCTAAGCACATATGGCTGTTCAAATATATTTGATCATGAATTATTATTGTTGACCATTATCTATATGATAAATAAGTTGGGAGGCGAAACAATAGGCCCCTATCTTTCTCTATGTTCGATGGAACGTATTTGTTCTAAGAATATGCTTTGAGTGGTAGCAATTATGGAAGACTATATGATAGTTGAGTATGTGTAATTTGGTAAATCAAAGCTCTTACATAGACCCTTCCTAAAATAAGATGAATTGAAATTGTTTGATGACTGAGAATGTAGTTTCCTAGTTTTCAAGAAAGTTTATGGTCTATACTTTAACATGTGAATAGCTTGCTTATGAGATGATCTACTGTTTATGATATATATTTTTGCTAGAAAAAGTGTTTGGAACTATCACTCATCAAACTTATGCACTATGCTAGCATTCTCACTTCATAAATTATTTCTTTTATCATTTACCTACTCGGGAACGAGCAGGAATTAAGCTTGGGGATGCTGATACGTCTCCAACGTATCTATAATTTATGAAGTATCCATGCCATGTTTACAACAATTTTTTATGGTTTTGGTATGATTTGATTAGAACTAACCCGGACTGACGTTGTTTTCAGCAGAACTACCTTTGTGTATGTTTTGTGCGGCAATAGAAGTTCTCGGAATGAGCTGAAAATTTAGGGTGATTTTTTACGGACCAAAAGAGACCCCGAAGCACCGGAGCTGGGCTAGGAAGTTATTGAGGAGACCACAAGCCTAGGGCGCGCGCACAACCCCCCAGGGAGGGTGCTCCCGGCTTGTCGCTTCCTCGTGGACTGCTATCTGTTGAGCTTGCGTTGGTTTTTT